GTATTCTAAGTGGATAAGTGAACCTCCTGGTAGAAGATCAATTCCTGAAAGTCCAGTCGACGAGAGTGTTATTTCCAGCAACAGGTCTATAATGAAGTTAAAGAAAAATGGGAATAGTGGATAGCCTTGACGGACACCACTTGAGGTTGTAAAATAATATGACAGTTCGCCATAAGCTCTCACTCGACTGGTAGTGTTCGAGTAAAGAGCCTTCACAAGATTTATGTACTTCTCAGGTACACCTTTTAATGACAGACACTGCCACAGAACCTCTCGGTCTACAGAGTCAAATGCTGCTTTTTAGTCAAGAAAAACTATCATTGTCGGACGCCGATAAGCATGTCTGTGCTCTAAAACTTGACGAATAGGGACATGAAGAATTCAGAAGATTAGAATTTGGCAGGACACAAAGGGTGGACGCACCTTCGCCATTGCAAACGATTTTGAGCCATCTCATTCAAGGTCTCTAACCATCGATTGCTATTATCTCGCGAGTCGCAACCAGGTAGTCTACACCTACCAACATGGCCCAGTCCACTTGTCAGTGACTTCATTGATTTGTGCCACGTTTTGGTCTGGCCGCCCCTAGCTTTCTTCCAACCTACTCTTACATCATAAAACATTGCACGTCGGGGCAGTCGGTGGTTGAGCATACGTAACACATGTCCCAGTCATCTCAGCTGATGAAGTTTCACTACTTCATCAATCGATTTACCATCCTTACCTAGTACCTGTTTCCTAACAACTACATTACTCACCCGGTGGTCCCAGGATATACGAGCAATTTCGTCACATACCAGACCACAAGGGCTGATGAGACTCCCAAGATAAGTGAAGCTGTCAACACACTCAACTACTTCACTCCCTATCATTAGTTCAGGTGTCGATGCAACCCAATCCTGAAGTAACATTTTGCACTTCGAGGGAGAGAATCGCATTCCGAACATGCCTGCATAGTTGCTTATAGTGGTCAGAAGACTCTGCATTTTGTCAGTGTCTTCACCAAATAAAACTATGAAGTCCTACTCACTGCCTTCTCGTGCCGGGGTTTTGTTTACGAAATTGAGAGGACGAAAAGCGAATGTCCGGCGCTTTAACCGGGTTGGTGGACAAGGTGAGTCCATCTAGGGGAGTTGGAAAACCCTGATCCCAAACCAATGGTGCACATGGGCTCCAGTATCCTGATGGAACGAATGGCGTATGAACCCATTGTTGGTCACCGGCTACCATGGGACTGCATCTCCTTACGATGCTCCACTGCCTTGTGGATCAGATCTTTCGGTCAGTCTCCTGGTGTGGCCCCCTAAGCAAACCACCTGCTTCGGTATTGGCACCTGGGCAGTATCACAGCCCTCAAGCAAATCGAATGAGATTTGTATGGCGCATATTTATCTGGTGCTTCCTTGTATTGATATTTATGTGTTTAAATAAAATAAAATTCTAAGTTAACAAGTGAGCCTCCTAGTAAAAGTTCAACTCCTGAGGATTGAGATAATGAAAGTGTAATCTCTAAAAGCATGTCAATGACAAAGTTAAACAAGAATGGCGAGAATAGAAAGCCCTGACGAATACCACTTGAGGTAACCAGTTCTGATGACAGTTTGCCATAGGCTCTTACTCGACCAGTTGTGTTCGAGTAGAGAGCCTTTATGAGGTTAATGTACTTCTTAGGTACTCCTTTCAGTGACAAACACTGCCATAGAACCTCACGATCAACGGAGTCGAATGCCGTCTTAAGGTCAAGAAATACTACGATTATGGGTCGTCTGAACGTGTGTCTATGTTCTAGGACCTGACGTAGCGTGATATGAATCTAAACATGTGCTCCAGAATGAGCGACGGTCTTCTGTCGAGCCCCTCTATCGGTGGCTGATAGAGACGTGACCTAATTGGATCCAACGTTGGGACGAATTCTGGTGTCGCCATGTCAAAAGATGTTTTTCCTTATGCTTAAAGTTAGTATTTGCAAGAAACGGGTGGTTATCTGAGGATAGCTGCAACATACGGTCGCCATTATCTGTTCTTTGAGCCACGACACCAAAAGATCCACCCAGGTGTCTTTCTCTTTCACCTAATTAACCTACTTGAGCAATAAAGTCACCTGCTACTATTACTACATGAGAGCGCCTAGCTTTTCGGAGAATGTTATAATTGTATTTGCTAATAAACGACCCAGCTATTCCTATTGCTTAGTATTCTTATACAATGACACTCAACAAGACCCCAAAATCAGAACACGTTGAACAGGGATAAAATTGTATTCAAAATAACAATCATAAGTGAACAGCAATCACTAGTTTGAATAACGTTCATATATTTATAGTATATACATAGGAAGCTTCTAGATTTTTCTCCAATAATTTACCAGGGCTGATTGCTTTATAATTAGCCAATCAGCGCGCTGCAACACTATCATGCATGAAACATGCTCTAATCCAATCTATGTCCCGCTAACCGAGAAAGTCAAAAAGCTTTCTGTAAAACTCACCTATTATATCATCCGAGCTGCAGTCAATGGGAGAGCAGACAGAGGCGACGACGAGTGTCCCTATCTTTCCGAGTCTTTACTGTTCCGTTAAGTCGGACGGCGCACAAACTGTCTACTGGGATCCAGTCCAAAAGAGCTATTTCTGCCCTAGGACTCAATGGTATACTTACGCCAGCGAGACCACGGGAAGCAGTATCAGGGCTTCCAGATACACGGAACGTGTATCGAGTTGGTTCTTTATTTTGACATGATGAGGTCAAATGAATGACGCTACTCGGATCCTGTATGCGTGTTTTGGAGACGCAGAACATGTCGATGGTGCGAGATTCTATAGTCCGAGCTAAGGAGGCCTGTTGTCCTATTTGGCACAGTGTTCGGACGTTAAGAGCTCCTACATGTAGTTTAGAGTGTGGTTGCAGGAGACCAGGAATAATGTTCCGTGTACTCGAATCGTTTGCCCTAGCGATGAGAGGTGATAAAGGGGTGTGAGAATGATTAGTCGTGGAGATAAGAGTTATTAGGTGTAAGAAATATTTGAAAGTAACCAACTTGGTGTCGTGTGTTGTTACGGGTATGAGGGCTAATATCACTTCACGGCTGCCCATACCCTGGAAGGGTATTTCTTGGGATTTGAAAAGGAAGTTGGATTAATGTTGGTCTTAACGGCCTGGGAGCGTAACCACAGAGCTCAAGGGACAACTGCTTGAGGCCGGTCACGCACGGCCTTTTTGTGGGGGATTTTTGACGTGTTAGCTCCGTTGTTCAAAGGACCTTACCGCCGGAGATGGAAATCAGTAAGGTAAGGTGAGGCGTGACATTTTTAGGGTCGACCTTTTCTAACCCCACCCCTCCTTGTGAGAAGGCAGCTTCTCTGCAGATGCTAGTTGTCCAAGGGAAACACCTTACTGCTATCGTACCCCTCTACAGTCAGCAGTACGACTTCACCCTCAGACCTTGGGTTGCTGCTTTTAGTCTTATTGCTCTTCAACCGACCTGCCTGGCATGGTAGGACCTTGAGGATCGATTGTTCCAGACAGTATAGCTCGATTGGTTCATTACAATAGACAAGCCCGACCACCACGTCAAAGTGGTAATAACAGTCGGGCATACACAAACTGCATCCTGTAGATCAGGTGTCCAGTTCGTTAAGGGGTATACTGTCCTTCATTTTGATACCTGATAACCAACCTCGATATTTGACATTTTTCTTCGATAACTGGAAACTGTGACACTCCTTTGGCTCTAAGTTTGTTCGACTTCCGAGCTAAAGTGCTGTAGATAAGAAGAGGGCATAAATCAAGTGGCGGAATTATCTCATCCTTGTCGTTATCATGGACTAGGAAGTTGACTGTACATCTCATTTATTTGAATATAAGCCTCAAATATTAATTCAATTTACGAGTTTTTAATAGGTTGAAATACCGGAGATCAGTTGAAAGTTCATCTGGTATGTATGGTAATTATGTCTCACATGCTTGTTTATAGCACTGTAATTCGTGTTCTTTTCATTCTTTTCCGTTCTAAATAACATATGTAAATTTTTTTCCCCGTGATAATTAAAAGGTTAATTAAGATAAATTAAGGCCATGTCTCAAACTTTTAATTCCAGGTTAATACTAATAACGTGATCTTATACTATATATATATATATATATATATATATATATATATATATATATAGTTATTATTCACTTTAAGTATGAAAATTTTTTATTGTATGTTAGAAACAACTTTATTGATTGTGTACATGTAGAGTTACCTAAGTAAAATACATTGTCTTAATTTCATTACTGTTATCATCCTGTGAGAATCTTTGTGCTGTGTTGTTTAGTGTACAAGCATAGTGGCTGGTGATGTCAATCGGTCGATGTTCTTGGTAGCATATCAAACGGATTGATAATTAAACACAGTTAATACACAGATTTACATTTTTGTTGTTAGTATTTTCCATTAATTCTTACGATATTTTATGTGTAAGTTCGTGACTGATAAGTTTGCTTCTGGAAATGCCTATTACTGACTTCCTAGCCGCATCCTACAATTCCAGACGGCTTCTGTACGTTAACTCGAACAAAAGAAAAAGGAAACGAAGTGTGAGGGCTTTATTCGAACGCTAGTTTGTGTACTGAAAATCAAGAGTATTTATAAAATAGCATGTGTTCCTGGTCTTTTAGAAATTTCTAGAAAAATGATGTAGTAATAGTGTGAGTAATTATCCAATCAAAAACGTAACATGTAATCGTTCATTATTCTACATATTTCTGAGAAGCGTCTATTCAATTCTGATTGGACAAAACATTTCCTAGTATTTTCTGGGCTTGACTTTGACGAAATGTATTTTCGAACTCCCCAATGGTGACTACTTTGCTAGTTTCATTCTCTATCTGTTAGTCTTTAATAAATACATGTTTTCACAAACTTTTCTATAACTTAGTGTACCTTATTAAAAAGTATTATATGTCATTTGAACAAATTGTAAAATTCATATTTATTGTTATTTCTTAATGTTAAGAATAAGCAACATAATACTAGTAAACAATCTTGTCAAAATAATACAATAAATTCTCTTCTAACATCTAAAACAAGTTTATCATCATCATCAATACTTGGCTCGCCTAAATTACATCAAAGTAATCAAAATATTCCACTGATTGGTTTGCGCTCCAGTTCCAACTTGACTATATCATCATTGTCAACAGTTCAAAGCCGTCATATTGTGGAGTCCAGTTCTACAAGTGCATTATCCAGTCAAAATGTTTCAAAGCCAAGTCGATCTCGACCTAGACGTTTTGCAAATCTTTACAGTGTAAGTGTTAAACAGTTAGTTATTCTGCATTATTATCAATTTTAACTTGTAATTATAGTATGTTAATGTGAGAATTATGGTAGTATGATTATATGCAAACATTTTTCCTCTTGTATTTCCAAGTAAAATTTAGCATTTTTGAAATGATAACAAATTCTTTGTTTTTTTAAAGTAAATTTGTTTCATTTTAAACAGTATATTACTCTCTTAATCATTATATTGGACAAAGGACCAACTGTTTCATGTACTTGTATAACTATTCGTTTGTTGTAAGCAAAGATAGATAGTGGCTATCAGTGGAATTCAGGACGCGCGTTTCGCTCTATTTGAGACTAGTTAGCTGGATGTACCTGCATCTCAGAGTTGTTCACTCTGGGACTCGAACCTAGTACCGTTCGCTGCAAATGCCAGGGTTCTAGTAAACTTGATATATTATAAACAGTATATAAATAAGGTCTAATCAGTATTCTGTCCAGTTCTATTAATCATATTTAACAATGATGAATTCAATATTGATTTCAATGGCACAAGAATCCTACAAAAAGGTTTTAATTCTTCCAAAGAAAGACTAACGGCCTAAGCCCTACGCATATGGATAAATCCAAATAGTATTAATAGGAGAGATGGAATACAATAAGCTGTCGCGTAGCAACTAATAATTAATAAGTAAAGTTGAACTCCTTATTCCATATTATCTATCACTTATTATTTGAATAAAAACAATTACATCCAATTGTTCTAATCAGTTGTCTTATCTGATTAACTGGAACAAAAAAATAACACAAACATTCATTCACTCACTTTTATTTTGTTCATTTATCTTCATTTTATGCATGCTGTGACATTCATTTCATATACAAAAATTGTATGTTTTCTTTTAAAAATTCACCGATCAGGGGCAATAAATAGTCAATGAAATTTGTTCTTACACCTCAGATCCACTTACGAATTTACATAATCTGTTATGTTAACACACTTCGTTTCACACCACATGTCTCTTATACATTATAGCAAATATCTACTTTCAACATTGTTAACTTTGATTGGATGACCTATTCAGTATACACTTAACCAGAGAACCATGTACTTATTTCTATTCGATAATTTTGATGTTTGATTATATTTCCTTGAAAAGGCTTGAACCAGATTGCCAGGCGAAACGTTGGATTTACTTGAAATTCATTTGCTGAGATTTCATATATACATTCTTTCACCTTCATGTCTTAAATTATTCACATCTGAAGAGAGGTTATTAACAGATCGATCATCTACGTCTCTCTAACTTGAGTATAATGTCATAAAAATCAAAAAATAAATTATAAAGCTTCATCTTTATGTATTTTGTCCTGTTGTTTAGTCTTTTCAGGTTCTTGGTCAAGGTATCTGTCAAGATTAAACTTGAAAAACTTTTGTTGAATATTGCATGATACGAAACACCATTGAGCTAGAAAATTGTAATTTCTTAGTTTACAATGGTGCTTGAATTCTACTTTTAATGAACAGAGCAGGTCTCAATGAAACCTATTCCCCTATGAAATTTAAAACTAGCATTTGATAATAAAGATTGTAAACATTTCCCTTATTTGTTTGAACAGTTAGTTATTCAATATATACAGACTAGCTTTTTAAATAAGAATATTGTTAAGTTGTAGTCTTTCAACTACGCTGTTTATTTACCATTTAATAGCTGAGCAATAGATGGAGTGGATTTAATAATATCAATTGTCGTATTTTATAGGATTTCTCAGTCATAACAAAATATATACATGCATTCAAAAAAAATGATACAGTACTTGACAAGTTCAATTTACTGCAAATCTCTGTATATATCATCCCTATACATTGATAAATAAATACAGTTAGATCTTTAAAACCTGTGCTACATGAAAGTGATTTTCATCAATAATTTAATCGCCTACTTTAATCAAAAGTCAAATGACGGTCTTTCATTTTCATTCTCCATGACTAATTTACATGACATTGTCTCAGCGTGTTACCTCGTAAAATGTAACTGTAAACTAATATTTTTTTTACAAAAATTTTTAGAAAATAAGTATTTACAAAAATCTATGAAACGAAATTTTTTTAAAATTTTGGTTCATTCAGAATAAACTGTTCATATGTTACCATATCTCGGTAAACATTTATTTCAAATTCATGAAATAATGGGTCATCTTAGATCTTTTCGGAAAAAAACGTATTTTTCATAATATGTTAGTATTATTCATCTTATTTTTGGATTCCGTAACAATATCTATATTATGTATAATCTCTCATTTTGATCTCTTTTAACCTTGAAATATCTGTTGGCAAAATACTCCTTGAATAAATTATCATATTCTTCTATATCTGTAACTGTTCAAGAAATACATTAGACTCAATGGAATTCAGAACAAAAAAGAAGCCTAAACATAATGTGCATAATTTTAGACAATTTATTTAAACACATAAATATTGGTACAAAGGGGCACCAAATACATATGCGCCAGACAAATCTCATTTGATTTGTGTGAGGGCTGTGATACTGCCCAGGTGCCAATACCGAAGCAGGTGGTTTGCTTAGGGGGCCACACCTCGGGCCTTTGATCTAAAGATCTGATCCACATGACAGTGGAGCATCGTAAGGAGATGCAGTCTCATAGTAGTCGGTGACCAACGATTGATTCATACGCCATTCGTTTTTTCAGGATCCTGAAGCCCATGTGCACCATTGGTTTGGGATCAGGGTTTTCCAACTCTCCTAGATGAACTATCCGTATCCACCAACCCGGTTAAAGCGCCGGACATTCGCTTTTCGTCCTCTCAATTTCGTAAACAGAAGTAATGCCACGAGAAGGCAGTGAGTAGGGTTCCCCTGGTAGAGGCTTTCTACGCGTGGCCATGTGAGAGCATTTCGAGAGGGAGAGCGTACTCTACCCACTCTCGGCCGTACCAGGGCATTTGGGGGCACTTTTAGACAATAACCAGAACTAGTTTATGTAAAATGAGAAATACAAACGTTTATATAAAGTCTACATAAGTAGATTTCCTTTCAAATTCATTCGCTGAGATTTTACAAAGATATATTATTCCTATTTAATGTCTTACATCAACTCAGCACCCAAATACTGTAAAACTATTCGCTATAATTTAGACGAATGTTCTTATATATCTACATAAGTAACTTCTAAATATAGGACTTTTTTACAAATATCTATGTATTACTTTAAAAATCAGTTGATAGACAAAAAAGAAAATTTTCATCATCATATTCCAAAAATGTTTATATATTAAAAATCAATTCATTAATTGAAAATTATCTTCACTCATTGCACGTTTTTATAATTATCAATTGAGTATTCTTTTAAGTCATCGATTTAATTAACATTTAACTTCTTATTATATTGTCTTGATATTACATGACTCTTTCTATTGATTTTGCAAAAACTGAAGCAGATATCTAAAATACAAAGAAAAACAAAACAAAACAGTGATTTGTTCATGTTAAATTGTAATGTTTGTCTTTTTTTTCTGTAAAACTATGTATATATGATGTGAAGGGGGGGATTAGTCAATATGATAGATAAAATTGTTATTGATCGATGAACATTTTTTAAATGTGAATTCTTTTGTGAAGAAAATTGTTTTTTTTTTATTCGTGTGAAAATACTACTATAAGGATATATTTGAAGAATTATTCTAATTATGTTTATTTTCGAAATGCAGTGGTAATTATTAGGAAATTTCTAAAACATCCATCGTAATCATTAGTGATATTTATTGATCTTATTATCATTATTGCCATTACCACTATTATTATTATTATTATTATTATTATTATTATTATTATTATTATTACTATATTGATATTAGGACTCATGTGAACAAATCACTTACTAACTTTCAGGTTCATTAATATTTACCAAAAGTAGTTTTGATTTCATTAAATTGATTGGTTGGTATTTAGTTAATGACCGTAAGCAACAAAATAGATGGTGAACTCATTGTATTCTGTCTTTTTAAACTCAAAGATAGGGAATCATGTAGGTGAAACATACTAAATCATCGCAGTTATTTTTACAACTTTTACAAGTATTCTTAATGAGTTGAATTAAGAGTTTATAGTTTGTGGTTCTTTTATTGTCCGACCATGAGTTATAATCATGCCAGAATATTACACTTTATGATTTGCAGAGATGGATAGTGGTTATCAGTGGAATCTAGGACTGTTAGGACTGCAACTGGTCAGTCTCTAATTCGCACAAGCAAGTGGCTATCAGGACTCAGTAGCTTAGTGGATAACGCGATGGCGTTTGAAGCGAGGGTACTGGGTTCGAGTCCCAGAGTGAACATCAACTCTGAGATGCAGGTACATCCAGCTGAGGAGTCCCAAATAGGACGAAACGCGCGTCCTGGATTCCACTGCTAGCCACTATCCATCTCTGCTTACTAATCCATTGTAGTTTGTTGCTAACCCAAGTAAATTAGAGTCATTCGTACAAGGATACTGTTAACTATTTAATTGGTGAAGTAGTTTATAATCAAGCAACTCTAATTTACTTGGGTTAGCAACAAACTACAATGGATTAGTAAGCAGAGATGGATAGTGGCTAGCAGTGGAATCCAGGACGCGCGTTTCGTCCTATTTGGGACTCGTCAGCTGGATGTACCTGCATCTCAGAGTTGATGTTCACTCTGGGACTCGAACCCAGTACCCTCGCTTCAAACGCCATCGCGTTATCCACTCGGCCACTGAGTCCTGATAGCCACTTGCTTGTGCGATGGGGTGAAGTTTGAATTCACTTAGTATTGTTTGTTTGGATCTTCCCATCGATGTGTTTAGGACTGCAACTGGTCAGTCTCTAATTGGCATATGTGCATACTGTGCGTATTGCCTCGATATACTACCATGCTTGTGAATTAAGGTATATCGAGGCAATACGCACAGTATGCACATATGCCAATTAGAGACTGACCAGTTGCAGTCCTAACAAATCGATGGGAAGATTCAAACAAACAAT